AGGATTTTGATCACATTATTAAATGATTTTGATCATGACACAAATGGATAGTCCCTGCTCGTGGATGGGGAGAGTCAACATAACCAAAATGACTATTCTACCTAAAGCAATCTATAAATTTAACAGAAGCCCCACCAACATACCAACAACATTCTTTAAATAAATGGAACAGAAATGATTACTACCTATATGGAACCATAAAAAGGCTCAAATAACTAAAGCAATCCTAAGAATAAAGGAGAGAAATGGAGAACCATGATATTTGACTTTAAGCTATCCTGTACATCAACAGGAATTAAAGTAATATGGTACTGACATAAAAAGAAACACATGGATCAATGGAACAGAATGAAGATCCTCAAAGTAAACACACATACATATTAACACTTAATTTATAAAAAACATCCACGATGGTACAATGATGGAAAGAAGAGTCTCTTGAACTGGGAAAACTGGAAGGCCACAGTAAAAGAATGACATTAGGTCACTATCAAACCTTATGTACAAAAACAAATTCAAAATGAAGGAAAGATTTAGATATAAGAACTGCAACAATATATAGAAGGAAACACATTGGAGATCTATTCCATGACAGGAATTATGATATTTTTAGACTACACCTCTATGGTAATGAAAATAAAAGCAAAAAATAACAATTGGGAATTAATTCAAATTAATAAGCTTTTATACAGCAAAAGATAAAAAAGCATCTTACTGAATGGGAGAAAATATTTATACATTATGCAATTGACAGGGGAGCTTAATATCTAAGCTGTATTTAAAAACTTCTGAAGTTCACCAGTTTTAAAAAATTAATACATGGGCAAAGGACTTGAAGAGAAAAATTCCATTTTTTTTATCATCATTTTAAATAAGGGAAATGCAGCTTAAGATCACAATGAGATCTCATCTCACATCTGAGAATAATGCATATTTAAAAGAAATGCTGGAGAGGATGTAGAGAAAGAGAAACCCCATTATACTATTGATGGGAATGTGAATTGATGCAACCAGTTGGGAAATTGACCTGGATTTACTTTAAAAAGCTAAAAGTGAATAGGATGGAAGACCTGAAACCATAAAACACACAGAAGAGGGCCGTCCCTGGTGGCACAATGGGATAAAGTGCAGCACTATGAAGCAATCTGCAGCCACTGCAGCATGAGTTTGATCCCCGTCCAGGGAGCTTACCCACATGGTGCAGCAGACCTCTCCTGACCAGCTCGCTGCTCTTCTCAGCACTGTATTTCAGTAGATCTGCCTGTTCCCCTCCCCACTCTGTCTCTGGTGAATCCTCTCACCCCCGTACCTCTGGCCTGTATCCCAGTTCTTGTATAAATAAATAAATAAATATTTATTTTAAAAAAGGCATGCAGAAGAAAATATAGGCAGAATGCTCTACAACACAGGCTTCAGGGACGTCTTTGTAGATTCATCTCCAGCAGCAAGCAAAAGACTATAAACAGTTGGGACTACATCAAGCTAAAGAGCTTCTTACAGAGAAAGAAACCCTTACTGAAACAAAAAGACACCCTACTGAATGCATATCATACATCTGACAAGGGGCTAATATCCATACAACTCAACAAAAAGAAAAATAAACCACCCAATCAAAAAATGGACACAAGAGTTCCAAAAAAGACAAACAAATGGCCAACAGGAATGTGAAAAATGTTCATCATCACTCATCAGGGAAATACAAATCAAAACCACAACAAGATGTCACCTCACTCCTATGAAAGTGACCCATATCAAAACTGCTGGTGAGGATGTGATGAAAAAGGAACCTTCTTATACCATTGGGGGAATATAGATTGGTCCAGCCCCTATGGAAAACAGTATGGAGATTTCTCAAAAAATTAAAAATGGATCAACCATATGACCCATCAATTCCACTCCTCGCTATCTACTGGAAGAATACAGAAACGCTAATTGGGAGGGACATATGCACTCCTAGATTCATTGCAGCATTATTTACAATAGCCAAGCTGTGGAAATAACCTAAGTGACAAATAGAAATGAGTGGATCAGGAAGATGTGATATATGTACACAATGGAACACTAGTCAGCCATCAAAAAGATAAGCCCTTGCCATTTGCAGCCACATGGTTGAAGCTGGAGGGGAGCTAAGTGAAGGAAGTCAGAAGGAAAAAGAGAAAGACTGGATGGTATCACTTACATGTGGCATATAGAAATACCAAACAAAGGGTCAGATAAAGCCAAACAAACCCTAAAAAGTCGACTGCCGAACTGAGGCTATCAGAGGGGGAGGGGGAGCTGAGAGAAAAGTAGGGAGGAGGCATAATGGGTATTGGGGGTTTTGGTGGTAGATAAAGTGTGGTAACAACATGTGAAGGGGGTGCACCTATAAACACAAACACTGTAAACCAATGTTACCACAATATAAAATAAATAAAGAAAACTAAAACTGGAAATACCATGAGAAATAGAAATACCTCACTCCTGGACATCTATCCAAAGAATGTGAAGCCACCAACTCAAAAAACTGTATGCTCTCCAATATCTGTTGCAGGACTTTTTACAATAGCTAGGACAGGGGCACAACCTAAATGCCTGTCAATAGAAGATTGGGGGCCCTCCCTGGTGGCACAGTGGGTTAAAGCACAGCACTATGAAGCTAGCTGCAACCACTGTAGCACTAGTTCGATTCCTGGCCAGGTGGGTGATCCACAAGGTGAGTCAGACCTCTCCTGACCCGCCCGCTGCTCCCCTCAGCAGTGTTATTTCAGTAAATCTGCCTGTTCTGCTCCCCACTCTGTCTCTGGGGGAACACTCTTACCTCCCGCACCTCTGGCCTAGTTCTGTATGTACAAATAAATAAATCTTTTTTAAAAAAAAATAGAAGATTGGATCAAAAAGATGTGGCATATCCACATAATGGAATATTAGTAAGCCATACGATGGAAAATGAAACATCATTTATAGAAAAATGAAAGGAGTTGAAGGAAATTATGTATATAGTAGACCAAGTCAGAATGACAAAGACGAATGTTGGACATTTATATAACAGACCATTTAAGAGAACAAATTATTTACAAAAATTAGCTATCATTAATAAACGTGAGGTTTCAGAGGTTCAAGGATCTGGAGTGGGAGAATGGATCAAAGGGAATATAAGGGATAGTGGCAGGGGGACCTTAGTTTTAAAAAACATGGACAAGAATATTCACAGAATTGAGAATTATTCTTTTTATTTTTTAGATTTAAAAGAAGTTCTTTTTTATATATATGTTTATTTTTACATTTTTTTACAATTTTCCATCTCAGTTGCAATCCCCTTGGGCTCCCCATCACCAAATCAAAATTGAGAATTATTCTTTTTTTTTTTTAAGATTTATTTATTTGTGCATACAGAACTGGGGTACAGGCCAGAGATGCGGAGGGTGAGAGGATTCACCAGAGACAGAGTGGGGAACAGAACAGGCAGATGGACGAAGTACACTGCTGAGGGGAGCAGTGGGCGGGTCAGGAGAGGTCTGCCACGCCATGTGGTCACCTCCGGGGCAGGCGGGAATCGAACTCATGCGGAAGCGGCTTTAGATTCTCAGTGCTGTGCTTTAACCCGCTGTGCCACCAAGGAGGGCCGAGAATTATTCTTAATAGAAAACTACCCAAATGCCCATCACCATCAGAATGTACTCAGTGTGGTCTATTCCTGCAATAGGAGAGAATAAAGCAATGAAGGTGGACAAAGCCCTGGAGTACTTCACAGCTTGGCTCCATCTCACAAACGGGTTGAACGGAAGCTGGGTGGATCACACTTACACGAAGTCCCTAAGCTACCCTGTTTGAGGGGCAAGAGTAGATAACCTTCGGGTGGAGGTTAGACCTGACGTTGACTTTTGGGGGTTGTTCAGGCCTTTTTCTTGACCCTGGAGCTGGTGACATAGGTGTGTCTAGTTAATACAAAGTAAATGAGCTTTCTACACCGATACACACTGTTCTGTATGTATATTTCAACTTGAAGTTTTAAAAAAAGGAGAGGGCCTCCCTGTTAGCGCAACAGGGAAAAGCGCATCACTATGAAGCTCTCCATAGCCACGGCAACGAGTTTGATCCCTGGCCCAGGAGGTGACCCACATGGAGTGGCAGGCCTCTCCTGTTTCCCTGCTGCTCTCTCAGCAGTGTATTTCCTCGATCTGCCTGTTCTGCTCCCGACTCTTGTCTCTGGTGGATCGCCCCACACCCCTGGCCTCTATCCTAGTTCTTGTATGCATAAATCAATCAATCTTTTAAAAAAGGAGAGGGGGCCATGTGACTGGGTCCTGATAAGAGGGGAGTGGTGCTGTTGACATCAGAAAGGGGGGGCAGGGGCATAGATTTTAGCATTTAGTCTAAGTATAGCCCTTTGAACAGAATGGAAGTTTCTGAAGAGCCTGAGAGCTTGGTGAGGGGGCAAGATGAAGTGTTCATCCCAAGGGACAGTAAGTCTGAAAGACACAGAGGCAACACCAACAATGTTTCTCAAGCACATACTGTGCCAGTCACTGCTCCCAGTGAAGACATGGCTGACCACTTGCTCTCAGGAGCTTATACCCTTGGGCAGGGGGCTCTAGTGGGATGTGTTCTCCAGATCAATGGTGGGGGTATGACTGCAAGTGGCCGAGGTTTATTAGAGGGGGTGCTTGGTGACTAGGATCAACTTCCAGTTCCAATAACTGCAAGCTAGAGTGTTCCCTTTTCTCATTAATATTGTTTGGGGGTCTATGCAAGAGTTGGGAGATTGGGGGGCATAGAGCAGCACTCAGGGAATGCCAGACATGTGCATGAAGAAACCCCGGTGTAGGTCCGTCTCATTTGAGCCCTTAGATAACTTCAGCCCTACCTATCACCTGAGACCCCTGCAAGTACTACAGGAACACGAAATACCAAACTGTCATTTTAGCAAATAAGTTTTACAGTGTGTGATGTGGCAGTAGATCACCAGGCACCCAGGAAAGACTGCGCACTCCCCTCACAACAAAATCAACACCAGCCAGTCAGACCTTCAGTCCCTTTAATTAGGTGTTCTGAAGAGAGGGCAGAATGGAGAACAGGGGGTGGAGAAAGTGGTGCTTCTTGAACTCCATTCAGCAGCAGGTCAGTCTTCATCCTCTGGCAGCTGGATCTTGCTGGGGTCAAAGTAGTTGGATTCCATGATGGGGAGGCCATTGGCCTCTCTGTACTTCACAAGCCTCTCAGCTTCCCGTCGGGCCCACTCCTGCATCCTGGAGGCAGCAGCATGGGGATAAGCATGAGAAACTTTCAAGGGACACCACTCCCTACCTGGGCTCCCCATTCCCCAACGGTACAAGGACAGAACACCTGGCAAAGCCTCCTCCAATCTCCACCCTGCCTCTGCCCCCCGCCTTCTCTCGGACACTCCATGTACCTGTAGTCAGGTAGATAAGCCACAAAGGTGGTGCCAAAGACCAAGGCGATGGAGAAGCCAAAGAAGAAGACAACCCGCATGTTCCAGAGGTCCACCACTGGGTCTTTGTCATAACCGTGGGAGTCTGGGTTCTATGGCAAAGAGAGGAGGTCAGTGAAGGCTTCCAGACACTCCACAAAGCCTTGTGCTGACCCTGCATGACCTGGTCTCCAATTTCACTGCAGACCAATCTCCCCTCCCTCCCTAAATTCCTCTCTTTCTATTCTTAGGACTTGTCAAGCTCCTTCCTACTACAGGACCTTTGCACTTGCTGTTCGCTGTGCCTGGAAAATCCTTCCCCCAGACCTGGTCATGGCTGGATGTGTCTTATCATTCAATCACCATTCAAAGTTTTGGCTTCATCATCACTTTCCTTAGGAAACATTCCCTAGTCACCTTGTCTGTTAAGGTGAACTGAAAGAAACTACATTTATAGATTAAGAAATGGTAGAATCAACATTCTAATGAAATAATGCCCTACCCCAAGCCACCCACCGCCTTATGCTCTTCAACTTCCTTTCTAGCATCTGAGTTTACCATAGCAGCATCCCCCACCCCCTCAGATCCTCTGTATCATATTGCCTTCTAGTGTTATGGGTTACAAACTCTATATTGTTGTTTTCTAGTATTTTTTATGTTTATTTTCTATGTTCTCCACAATAATGTAAGCTCTGTGAAAACAGGGGTTTATCTCATTTCCAAAGAGTTGAATCCCTAGGATCCTGAAGTGCACCTGACATATAGCAGGTCCCCAATAGACACTTACAGAAGGAAGGAATAAAAGCATACTATATATAACCAAGCCTCACAATCGGAGGTTAATATCGATAAAATGCCTATTATGTGCCAGTCCTCTGCACATACACAAACTTAATATTCTAGAGAGGTGGAAATTAGCAACAATTAACACTTTCTAACACTGAGTGCTTAATCAGTGCCAGCTACTGTTCTGAGCACTTTGACTCACTTATAACTGCATGAGGCAGGTATAGTATTTTATTTTTACGGGGCTGTCATCCCGTCTCCATTCTGCAGTGAGGCACCAAGGGGTTCAACTACTTGCCCAAGGTCACACAGATGAGTAACTGCCAGTGTCTGTATGCTAACCCCAACATTCTGATTTCAGAGTCTCCGTTATGAATACAGCACAGCAGACACTGTAAACCTAAGTTCAAATACCAGTTCCACCCAACATTCGCTCATGTACTTAACATCTCCACGTTTCAGTTTCCTCAGCTGCAGAATGAGTATACTAACAGTGTCTACCTCGAAAGAGGGCTGTTTTCCAGATTAGATGAGTTAATGTTAAGGAAAGTATTCAGTATTAATTGCTGTTAAACCTTAGTCGCGGTTTGACATCTGCAAAATAAGGCCAATCTCGCTCTGGCCCTGAACGAAAGATCTCAGGGAACTAAGCGGAAAATAGGTAGGGGGGGAAAAATCCCAAGTCTTCGAGATTTCGCCAGCTGCACAATTCTCAGCAGCCTAAGAACGTCCTCTACCGTGCCCCGTCCGCCGGCCCCCGGCTGACCCTTCCACCGTGCCGTTTCTCCTCCCTCTCACCTTCTCATATAAGTTTTCGTCCTCGGGATCCGGGTCCTCCTGCCAGCGTAGTGTCGGTGCGGACGTCCGCTTTTCCTCCACAGCGGTCGGGGCGATTACAGCCCTGGTCGAGCCGGACTCCCAGCGAACCCCGGCGGCCGGGAGTCCTCGCTTCGCCGCTAACGCCAAAGTGCGGCGAACGCACAAAGCTAACAGCCCGGTCGCCATGACAGATCGTTCTGCAGGCTGGGGGAGGGGCCGAGGACGGAAATGCGACTCTGCGCAGCTGCAGTTGGCTCCGGCGCGATCGTTGTCGTTCCGCCCTCAGTCGGCCGCACTCAATAGGTCGCGAGCGTGGATTTCGTATTCTAGCGAGGTGGTGCGCTGAGCAGCCCTTTTCCCCCCTCTGTCATGGCCTCACGGGGGCAACCATTTTCTTATTCGGTCAAACTATGGTATTTCTGGTGGACAGGCCCGCTCCTTTCCTCCGTGAGAAGAGAGACGGTGACATTTGGGTGGCTACAGCTGCCGACCAATCGCTCCAAGAGGCCCCGGACTCTCCGGGGGAAAAGGGCGGAGCGTCCGCCGGTCTTTCCTCCCAGGAGGAAGCCCGCTTCTCAAAAGCGGGTCTCTGGGGATTGGCCGGTAGCAGCTCTGTTTCTCCACTGGGGGGCGTGCGGACTGGCGGTGGGGAGGTGGCAAGCACTTGCCAATCAGCGCGGGCTGGGGACTGCCGAAGGCCGACGGCGACCAATAGATGAGCCCGGCCAGAGCGCGCTCCCTTAGTAGGTGGATGGTGGTCGGAGCACCGGCTCGCTTCTCGTCGTCGCCATTTTGTGCTGGGGATTGCGGCGGGCTGGGAGTAGGCGGCAGTAGGCTTTCCGGGGAGGGTAGCGCGCACGGCGCTTCTCCCCTCCCCCCCTCCTCCCCTCTGCCTCCTGCCTCGGACTTGGTGGTGGCGCGGATCGGCTCCGGCGGAGGTGGGCGATTGGGAGGAGGTGGCAACGGGCCGAGGTGATGTCTGGGAGCCCTCCCTTGACAGCCCGGGCCGAGAAGGTGAGCGTCGACGCTGGTCGTGGGGGCGGAGGTAAGGGGCCGAGGGCGGGGGTGGGGGTGGACGCCGAGCGGAGAGGTGCGAGCGCGGCCTGCTGACCGACGGCGGGGCTCAGCGCAGCGCAGGGACCTGGGATGCGTGCTCGGCCCGAGCCCGGAAGGGGGGGGGTGTCTTTTTTCCCTCTGTCCTTTAGGGAACGGAGGCGCCTGCGCATTTGGGACTCTGGATGGGTGCACGCGGGTTGGGGGAAGGGAGGCACGGAGGGGAGTGGGCTACTGTGACTTACACTGTGCGTGCGACCCCAAACTTTAGCCGTGGGAAGGCGGGTGTCGGACCATAGGGGAGAGGGTGTGCTCTCTGCTCGCTGTGACTTTGGTACTTTCTCCGTGGGGGAATGTTCTGTGCCACTGGTCCTTACTCTTGGGTGGGGGAGAAGGGAGAAGAACATCGTAGGACTTTGGTCAAGGTAAGTGCTGTGAGTATGTCTCAAACGCTGGTCCTTATCCACGGGGAAAGAGCCTTATCCATAGGGAGTCTTCTTGTGACTGAACCTAACCCACTTGGCTGGGTAGGGAAGGGAATGCAAAGAATGTGTGTATGACTTAGCACCCTTTCTTTGTGGGGGTGCTTATCTGGGACCTGGACACTCACCCAGTGGAAGGGGGTTGTGTATGATTATGGTCCGTATTTACTGTGGGTTCCTTTCTGTGATGTTTGGCTCCTAGTTATTTGGGGCTCGAGTCTGTGACTTTGGTTCCTTTTATTGCTCCCAGACTCTTAGGAGGGTTTTGTATCGGTGTCTCATCCATTAGAGCTGCTGGTTTTGATTCTGACCCCTACCACTTGGGAGCAGGTAGCTCTGGTTTCTGTGGCTTGAGGAAGAGAAATTGGTGTGCGTGTGTGCTTGTGTGTGCGTGCATTCCTGCGTGTAGAGAAAAGGTGTGGTGGCACCCTAGTGTTGGGCAGGTGTTGTTACTGCCTTGGTTTTCCTTGATTCCTGTTCAGAAAGCAGAGCCCAAAAATTCTGGCAGACTTTCGGTGACCCCTGGCTGCGTCACATAGCTTTAGGACTTCCTGAGTTCCCACTGCAGCTTGGAGGGTTGGGTGAAGTGACCGCCCTTCCATCGAACAGTCTCTGAAAGGGCTTCTTTTTGCTTCTGAAAAACTTGGGCCCAGAGCCCTGGGGAGAGAAGCGTCTTGGGACCTGCACATAAGAGCCAGTGCTCAGGGCTGAGCCAGTTACCATGTGAGGGCCAAGGCTGTTTTGGCCAGGAGCCCAGGGAGGTGGCAGCTGTCTCATTGTCAGGTTAGCCTCTTCACCCCTTAAGATTTTCGTGGTCTTCTGCTGTCTTGTAGGGGACAACTGGCACCTTGCTGGGAGGATGAAATGGGGCCCGTGGAATGAGTCTGGTGGGTGCCAGGGATTCTTGTGGATTCTTGCCCCCATGCCTTAGGAGCCTTATCTCTGATAAGTCATCCCACGCTAATAGACACTCCCCCAACCCTATTCCTCCCCCCTGGGACCCTGGTAGGCACATCCCAGCTGGAACCAAAGTCAGATAGCAAAGCCCTGATCACAAAATGGGTGGCACCACCAGGTCTTCCTGCAAGATGTTCCCTTTTTGCTGAAGGCCTTGCTATTTCTAGGACAGTGGATCTAGCTTCGCACTGGTGGGGAAAGGAAGGAACAGGCCAGGAAGAGGCGGCCTTCCTGCTCCTGGTCGACAGGGGCATTAAGAGTTGGAAAACAACATCCCCAAGCTAAGGGAGAGCAGAGAGCCTGTCAACTCGACTTTCTCAAGGATGCCCTCTTTGCCCCAACTCTCTTGACTCCTTTCTTCCTTAACTTTCCCCAGAGTCCCTGCAGGAGGCATCACCCAGACTGGCAGATCATGGTGGCAGCAGCGGGGGTGGCTGGGAAGTGAAACGGAGCCAGCGGCTGAGGAGGGGCCCCAGCAGCCCCCGCAGGCCCTACCAGGAGATGGAGTATGAAAGACGGTGAGTTATCTGCTCCTACCCTTACCGAGCAGCCTAGGCTTGTCCTCTCATGAGATTTGATCCAAGAAGGTGCTAGGAGGGGACTTCTCGACAGTGGAGGGCAGCCAATGATTGGTTTCTTTTCAGCAGACATTTACTTGGCACCTGTTGTGGCCCAGGACCTGTGTGCTGGGCTCTGGGAGTGCATTGGTGAGTGAGAGACATAAGATTGCAGCCTTCTCCTTACTCAGGGTCTCACAAGAAAGACCACAAAGTTTACAGGTGATTGCACAGCAGCTTGACGGATGCCATGATGGCTTTGAGGGTGGGAAGGGACCGAGAGAAAGGAAAGAATGAAGGTTGATGCCCAGGTTTCCAGTTTGGGCAACCTAGCTAGCTATATGGTGTCATTCACTAAGATGTGGACAGCCCTTTCCAGAGGAGAGACAGAGCTGGGTGGTGGGTTATAAGCGCCTGTGGGTGCTCATGGGAGAGGTTTAACTTGAAGTTTGTGGGATGGATGACAGTGGTGCCTTCAGAGCCAGAAATTTGCCCAGGATAAGTATGGGACAAGCCAGGTGAGATCATGGGAGACTTTGGGGGCAAAATGGGCTGACCATTGGCTTACCTGATTTGGAATGGGACACTCATACAGCTGGATTCCAGTACATCCAAGAAATAGATGGGGTACATGGTAAAATACAGCTCCTGAGCCATACCCTCGCCATCTTGGTAGAGCACCTCAGTTGATTCTAATGCAGATGATCTATTCCTGACATTTTAAGATTACATGGAAAAACTGACCTGTATAGAAGAACTGGGGTACCAGCCAGAGGTGCAGGGGATGAGGACTCACCAGAGACAGTGGGGAGCAAAACAAGCAGAGCCATTGAAATATACTGCTGAGGGGAGCAGTAGACAGACTGGAGAGGTCACCTGTGCCATCTGGGTCAGCTCCCTGCCTGGGGATGGAATTTGTGCTGCAGAGGACTGCCTCATAGCGCTGCGACTTAACCCCTTGCCCACCAGGGACGCCCAAGAGTGAGTGGGTTTATAAAAAGTCAAGAAGAAAATAGCTTTTTAAATATCTTGCAAAGAATTTCTGCTACCCTTTTTAAAATGTAGTATTGTTATTAATACTTTGTTTTTGGAAAAATGAACCCTAACTTGAGATGTGGTCATTGTCTAATGTTACTCAGCCTTGACCTTTAAAAATATTTTTGGAAAAGCATTCATTTTTGTATGCTATTCATTGGAAGTGCTCAATGGTTGTTTTAGAGTTTGAGTACGTGACACACTTGCTCCTGACTTTATTACCAAGTAAAGCTACTGGCTCTCTATTGGCTTTTAAAGGACCCCAAGAGAAAAGGTTTGAGCCAATCGTAGTCTTCCAGTTCAAGGTAGGTTTCTATCATAGATTAGTATAAGGCCTTCTCTTGCCACTTAGGTTTTTTTCTTTCAGTATATTGATTTTTTTGTTTGTTTGTTTTTATTCCAGTTCCCATAGCTGTAGGCAGCTGTTTTATCATGTTTGACATGTATTCTCATGTATTCTTTTAAGATACGTAGTAGTGTTTTGGGTGTGTTTTCATTATTTTTTGTGACCTTGGTATCTTGTAGCACTGCATTTTAAAGATCTGTCTGTAGTGCCATGTGTATGTTAGTGCTTTGCTTCTAATTGGTCCCAAGGACATCATGGGATTTCCTTTAGTTAACAATTTCCCCAAGGATGGATACCTGCTTTTAGTTTTGGTGTGCTAAAATTTATGACTTTTTGCCACATAATCTGTACTTTTGGAATCTTTTGTTTTCCTACCTCTGGACCACAAAGACTCTTTACTTATGGTTTTACCTTTTGCATTCAGTCTTTATTTAATCCATCTAGAGTCCACCTTTGACTGTGGTATAAGGTAAGTTCAGGTTTTATTTTCCTCCATGCAGTGGGCAGTTATCCCAGTACCACCTCTGAAGTAGTTCATTCTTTCTCTGATAATTTGCAGTTCTCATCTTATTTCAAGTCCCCTTGTTTACATGGATCTGGCTTGAGCCATCTGATTTGTTCCACTGGTCTGTTTGTACTTGTGCCAGAATGATGTTGTTCTTAATGACTTTATAGAGTATCTTAGTAGCTTCTACTTTAGTCTTAGTTATCACAATTGATGTAGTCATTTGTAGAGCTTTATTTTTTTAAAGATTTACTTATTTATGCACACAGAACTAGGGTACAGATCAGAAGTGGGAGAGGGTAAGAGGATTCACCAGAGACAGAGTGGGGAGCAGAACAGGCAGATCTACTGAAATACACTGCTGAGGGGAGCAGCCGGTGGATTAGAAGAGGTCTGCTGCGCCATGTGGGTCAGCTCCCTGGCTGGGGATCGAGCTCGCGCAAAGTAGCTGCCGAGATAGCTTCGCAGTGCTCGCTTTAACTCTGCACTACCAGGGAGCGCCCTTTTGTAGAGCTCTATATTGAAAGTTTGTGAAATCCCTCACAACACTCAAGAATTTATATTGAAATTGCAGT